GCACGAATTATGCTTGCCGAATTGCTCGGAACCGTCTTGCTAGTAGTAAGGAGCTTTTGCCTCTTGACTGTCGCAGCGTTGTTTTATATGTAAGCCATGTAAGGCGCTTGGAGACGGAGCCATCGCACAAATGGTACTCAGCAGAGGTCAGGCCGGAAGCTTCCTTAGTGTTAACCTTGCGTATGGCTTCGCCGTCGCGTTCGGTGTCTACGTATGCTGCGGCGTTTCAGGTACTGCTATCCTAGCATTGATGTCTGGTCGTTTGTTTCCATATTACTTGCTTCTCGGAACTGTCATTTATACAGGGGATAGAAGAGATCCCGTGCAGCATTCTGTATCATGATTTATTCGTGAGGTAAATACAGATGGTATTTCTGGAATGTTATTTTTCAATTCAAGCCAAGATTATGATTTTTCTCAGTTTTCTCTATGCAAACGGTTTTAAGTGCTACATTTTCTTACTTCAGACGTAGAAGCAATCATCAGGAAAATTTTTCACACCACAAGGGTACAGTATACAATTCAATAGAATTTTCCTGATGATGGCTTCTCTGTCGAAAGTCAAAACGTTGGAATAAACCAGATGAATGTCTTATTTCACGCGCAGTACCATTTGCGTTGAGAAAAGTGAGAAGATCTATACAAATCGTGAACCTGCCATTTCTTCCAAGGTCTGCTTTCGGTATGACTTTCCTGGCTGCACTTACTATCAGTTATTGATTAATGGATGGCGCGAAAACTGTTCAAAGCCTTTTAAACATTACTTAAAGTAATGGAGGCAAACCCAAAATGGTGTTGTTCATTTAGAAGCGTACATCAACAACAATTATTCCATCAGCAATAAATTCAGAAGGCACAAACAGTGAACTAATACTTTCTGACGAAATTGTATTTAAAAATGGGTGACAGAAACAGGAACTTAAATAAGAGGAAGGCGAAAGGACATCAAAAGAAAAAATAATACGGGGAGTTGAGACAGACGGTTGAAGTTAGATATGTAGAATGAAATTCTAGCGCTCGATTAAAAATTATGAATCTTACTTTAGCGTTGAGAAATACGCTCTGACGAGAGAGAATTCACTCGTCACGAGGCTGGCAGTGTTTATCATATCACTGCTGTAAATCCTGTGGAGAATTTCTGTTCGTTTTTAATGCCCAATATTCATTTCATCCTCTAATTCAGCGTTCACTTTCATTTTCCTGTGTTTTCTATACTTCACCTCACGTTCAAAGCGCAATTTGTCAAAATGCATAAATCTTATATCTGATAGTCATCATTTTCATCTTCATCTCCCATCGCCGCTTCTCCCTTCGGGTCACGGAGGCAGACGCGTTGGACAAAGCTTCCAACGTCCCGATCCTGTGCCAGAGTCTGAGCTTCGGCAAAAGACAAAAGGAGTCTGGAACAAACTTCTTCCATATATCTCATAGACTATAGTAAATAAGCAAGTATGTATGTAAGTCAGTACGTAAGAAAATAATTGCTGAAAAGTAAGTACCCATTGATGGAAAATATACCTCAGTACTTTCATGGACGTCCCGCGGGCCAATATCGAGAATGCAACGCAATCTTTATAACTCAAGAGTTGAATAGGGCGTGAATTGCGAACTCACTCATTTTGCCACAGAATTATTCATTCGAATTATGGAATGATAAGGATTTGGCAAATTGCACATATCGCCACCTCTATGGAAAGAAAGGCGAAAATGACAGGTATGGCATCGTACATCAGAGCGATATAAAATAAATTTGCACTCGCAAACCGTCAAAGAAGTTGTATCGCCTGTTACGAGCCCTGAAGAGGCTGATTAGCGATTTTATCATTATAACGGATTGACATACTTCTAGATGCTTTATGAAGGAAATTTATGAGTTTAATACTCTGCCTGTAGAAGCTCTAGCGAACAGATAGGGGCCTATGGTCTGATTTATTCACAATGAAGACATGATTTATTTACATAATGCTAATTACCTTAAGCTGAGTAACATAAACATTAAAAGGAAAATTAGAAGCAAAGAAACAGTGTAAAACTGCTGCTGGCGTAAAGTGAGGAATTGATTTTTTCTTTACATAGTTTTTTGAATAATGGCACCAAATAAAGCAGATAATAAACTGCTTAATGTCAACGCGTTTCACTGCACAGATCGTAGTGTGGGCTGGACCCCTAACGGCATCTGCTCTATTTGGCATCCTGAACCATGAGTCATTCAGACAACTGTGTATATAACTATGGGCACAAAATCAGATACCTGAAGAATTTTTTATTTGATTTTTCTTCTTTATACAGTGCTTTTTACCGTTTCAATACATAATATCATTAGTTTCATCGTGATATATTAAACGGCGGGATCGAAAGCTCTTTCCAGAACATCAGGGATACGTTTTGTTATTAAAATAAAATATTATTCCATTGATTTCAGGAGGTCACATTAACCCGGCAGTAACTCTGGCTATGTGCATATGCGGAAGTACTAAATGGTCTTTTCTCCCGTTTTACTGGATCGGGCAATATATTGGCGGATTTTGCGGAGCGGTTATAGTATACTTCGTCTACAAAGGTACGTGATTTCAAAGCTTCGTGTGATCCTTGTGTTTTTGTGACTCATCGATCGTATTCAGACGCGTTGGTCTTCTTCACTGACAGCTCTTACATGGTGACCGGACCAAATGCGACGGCTAACATTTTCGCTACCTACCCTGCCGCTTACCTGAGCACTGGAGGGGGACTACTTGACCAGGTGAGTCACGGTTAACGGAGGACGGTTAACCAGCGTCTTCTACTATCTTATGCAGATCGTTGGAACGGCTGTCCTCCTCGCTTGCGTCTTAGCCATTTTGGACCAGCGAAACACACAGGTCCCAACGTACTTCGCTCCATTACTGATCGGTTTCGTGATTATGGTCTTGGGTATGTCGTATGGATTCAACAGCGGCTATGCGCTGAACCCTGCTCGAGACCTTGGCCCTCGCCTGTTTACGCTGATGGTCAGATGGGGTTCGGAATCGTTCACGTATGCCAGACACTAGCTGATTCAGTGACACTGATGTATCCTTTAATTTTAGCGCGTTCCGCTACTGGTTTTGGGTGCCGATCATTGGGCCACACATTGGGGCGCTGGTCGGCTCTCTGATTTACATCGCTTTCGTCCAGCTGCACTGGCCGAGAGGAGAACCTCAGCTGTTGGAAGCAATTGAAATCAAGTCTCCTTTGAGAGGCCACTATTAAACTATTGGTCCGGAGTAATTCATGATAAGTATTGATAAATTATGACGCTCTCTTTGCTAACTGTTCAATGCTTTACGATTAACCACTGATATGTAAAAATATTTTTCATGCATTACCATTGATTTATTCGAAGTACTGTCCTAGAGTGCAACTGAATTAAAATTGAAGATGTTGAAAAGTAGTGTCTAAAATAGTTATGTTACTCTATCAGCACAAAATCATCGCAAAAATCAAACAATTTTCCTAGCCTTCATTAACTTCTTTCTAATGTCATTAGTTCTTTCTGGTTTGAGGCAGTAGCATTGGAAGTTTCTACTTTCCAGCGGGTTCTGCGTCAATTGGATCCACCATACGAGCTGAATTCCAAGGCCCAGCAGCACCTGATACCATGCCATGAAGATTTCACTAGCGAATGGCATTTTGCAATCAGCCGGAGGTCATGTAATCCATATTGTGTTGTGCAACTAAGCGCTGAAGGAGGTCAACGACCTTACATATGAAAAAACCGCTTCTCGAAAATCGAAACGTACGCAAAATACTTCCTTTAGATTAAGTCAGGACATAATAAAGTAGGTATACAGTTCGGAAACCGTTCTCTTTCCAGATCACACAGTATGATGATTTCGTCATGCATGATTTATAGACAGATATGAAAACAATGACTAATATTTATATTGCCATGTAAGTAACGGGAATATTGTTTCAGCAACTGCAAATACGATGCATCTTAGTTGACCATGGTGGCACTGTCTTGCGGCTTCATTATCAAATCCGTATTTCTGAAGTAATAAGATATGTATATCAATACACTACGCAATCGATACAGACACAAGACGAATTACCAGGTGACTGGAAATTCCTCTGAATACTACTGGTCTACAAGAAAGGGTGTTCGAGGAAGCGACAAACAATATAACTATATGCCTCTTATTCCACGCGCATAACCTGTTCACCAAAGTTCTTTTAAATTGCCCAAGCAAGAAATTGGACTAGCAATAGTCATCGACAAGGCCAGACTTAGCTGAACACTTTCTATACTCGATCATCTCCTAATGTTGAAGCTGCTGCTCGAAAACTGTAATTAGTACAGATTGCCCATCTGCATGATTCGTTTACGTTGATGTGAAACATTCGACATAGTGAAATATGAAACAAGGAATAGAAGAACACATTCAAATTCTACAAGAAGAGCACCAGACTTGCGGCCTGAAGATTAAACTGTTTGAAGATCCACTTAAAATCAAGGTTTCTAACGGAGTTCGTTAAAGAGATTTTTAAAGAGGTTTGGCTGACAAGATCAGTCTGTTGCGAGGCGAAGGTGAAATAAGTCTAAGTCACAATTTTATATAAACTGTAGGTAAAGAACAGGAGAAAATGCGTAAAGCCAAATTTAGGATAAACAGGAGGAAATGATAAACGGGTGAAATGATCAAAAACGAACTCACCCATTGTTATCATTAACTACCAAATAGAAGACTTCGCTGACTATGTCTGCTGGAGCAGCAAATGGTCTTGGACCACTTTTCGGTCAAGAGCTTGCTAAAGGGCGTCTTGCGATTAAATACATCAATTATTAAATTATTAAATACATTAATATATTAATGTATATTTATAATGTGTACACAACTGAAAGCAAGGTTTTGACAACTGCACTATGTTGTTGCGAGACCTGATCATTAACGAAAAACGGAAGAACGTTATGAATGCAGTATGCAGACTAAAGAAGGCAAAATGCTAGGAATTT